AACCATTTTTTTTTTTTTATTTCCACGAACGAGCAGCTGCGCGTTGGTCGCCACAATACAAGACAAATGGTCCCTCGAATAATATTCCCCTATACTAGTGCAACTTGGATGTATCCGGCACATCTATACAATAATAATGTGAACAATATTGTGATATTTTCGCGTTTAAATTCTAACAATCTATCCATTACCGAGTAAACGCGGTAATTGATCCGTTGCGGTTAGACGAGCTTGGGCTACGCGGTGTTGACGATTCAATGAAATGTCGCGCGCGTGTGTAACAAGCCCATCGGTCGACAAATGATCAGCACATAACGACGACCGTATTGATTGTCGTGTAATTAATTTGGCCACCGTCGATTGGTATTCCGACCTTACAGAGGCCAATTATATACTATGAGAAATATTTATGTCCTTAAGCCGACTAGAGTCTTATGAAAATACACGCGCGTAAACCGGTAACGCTCCTCAAGGTTGACGTGGTTGCTCCTTTTATGCCGCTCAACCCTTTTGTAATGCTGACAAATAATTCTCTGTTTATAACCCTTATTATTAATACGTCTTTTTATATTATACTCACCGGGGCCTGTCATGTCGTTTCATTTCCCGCCCCTTATAATAATAATAAGAAATACACGGAATGATCACAAAAAAGTTGTGTACTACCTCATACAAACACATTCTCGAGTACACACGATAGTGATATCTTAAGATAAGTGCTGCTGCTACTGTTGGATCGAAAATATAGATGAAAAAATTATGAGAAAAAAAAATACATAATAAACCGAAGACGGTTCTCAGGATGGCACTCTCATTATATTCATGCGAGCGTAAAAAAACGGCCAGACGTTGTTTAATTCATTTATATTATGTATAAAACATGTATTGTAAATTCATTACGAGTGTTGTGTACAATTTTTTAATTGTCCCGATCATAATTAAAACCGCAAGTAGAGACCAGTAATTTGATTTGTGGTGTCGCCGGACCACCGGAATCGAGAGATGGCCATAAATTATTTATACCACACGGCATTGTGCTGTCGTGCTTTAGACCGATTACATGGAAACCTAATGAAATCGTCATGTACGGCAACGGAGTAAAAAACGGTTCGGCCGTCGCTTATGAGTTTTTCCCGTGTCGCGTTTCCGATGTCCAGTCGCCGTCGGCCATCTTGTGCGAAGCGCCACCACCACACGGCGGGACGCGTCGCAATTATTATAATTATGCGCGTCACGGGCCAAGTGCGCGTGTGAGATTATTAATATTTTCTATTATTCGAATGGAAGTCGATCGGGGTGGGGGGGGGGAGTGTTGATGATCGTTGCGTGGTGTGTGCTCCAAGAGAGACAATGGGTAAAACTCGTATTAATTTTGGCCGCGACATTGTTCAAACAGAACCGAGTCATCAATCAGTAATTATTATTACTGCCGTTGTTGTTGCTATTACCATTATTATTAGTTATTATTGTTGTGTCCCGATACACAGATAATATATGGAAAATGATATGCGCGTTTATTTGTGTGCGCATTAAACAATGGAGCGCCGAGAAGCGCGTGTTCCCATTGGTCGCCGTCGAACTTATTGTCGCCGGTCAGGTGCTAGCGGAGTGTGAAAAATATAATTATGCCCCCGCCGTTTTCGTTTGTTTCGTCTTAATGGCTCTTTGAGGACGGCCTTGCCGGGTCTTCTCGGTCACTCCATTTTCAGAGTGCCACTTTGATTGCAGGAGACTACTAATCCGGTAAGTGTAACGGTACCGCGTCGTACCTGACGTTTGCGCCGATGTCGCTCGGTATTATTGTTGCGTGTGGTCCCAATACCATAGGAAAAAAAAAAAAAGGGACGTGACACGCAGTGCTCTATGAATGTGTTTTTTGAAAAAAATTTCCTAGGAACTCGAAAATTGAAGAAGAAAAGAAAACGCAAAAAAATGTGTCCCGTGTGCAATATTTATGATCAGGACGCGCATACGCGCTGGGTCATAATGGACGTCCCGTCGCGAAGGTGCTGGCCCCCGTTACAATTTAACACCGGGTGGGTTATTCTATGTGTTTTTTTGCTGTCGATTCGTTCAGCACCTTAAAGTCCTCTCTCGGGTCCTCTACGTGCGTGGCGTATAGATATTCAATAGAGATTTTATTAAGTAGCCATCTATTGTGTGTCGATCTCCTTTTCCTCCGAAGTCATTGGTCATCGGCGACGCTTCCGTCCGGCAGATGCACACATTTCCATTGTCCAGCTGTTCCGCGATACTCCAGTTTTCATCATGTACGCCGTCAATACGGTGTCCTGACCGATATCTATAAACGGTCAGATGCACACGCGCAATAACAACTAGAAAATAATATCATCATACGGCCATAACAATATTATTTGTTATTATTATTATTTTTTTTCATTTCGTCAACGTTTCGGAGAAGAATATATCGAAAAACAATAGTACCATATGCGCGCGAGCGGGTCAATAAACTAACCGAATATTCATACACGATTTTGAGAATACATTAATCTCGGATCTAATGATATTACCGTCTGTCCATTGTATTATCGACGACGACAATCTCGAATTTCCTCGTGCTATACTCGTTTTGTTATTATACCGTCGAATAAAGTCGATACCATTTGATGTACACTCCAACGATGAAAATAATAGAATTCTGTTCTCGGAAATTCAAAAATATTCTCGTATCGACAGTTACCCGCAAGTGACCTTGTTGATGAATTACAGCGATTCGATGGTACGACGCGTCCAAGTTTCCACATTGCCGCCGCCGTCGTTGTTGTTTCACTCGGCTCGTTAGCCGTAAAAGTCTAAATGCTTTTGTTGTTAACACACTAAACTGTGTTTGGTTATTAGATTCAAAGTTCGTTTTCAATTGTCACGTTCCGAAAAGCCGACGCACAATAATAATTATTTTCTCTGCGTCACAAAAATAAACGGTTCTGTTGTGTGTTATGCGTCACAACGGCGCACAGGGACGACAATAACGTCAGCGATGAGTAGGCGATGATCGCGGGGGGCGGTTGGTAACCGTTTACGGGGAAACATAATACTCGCGCGTTGTTTTCATTATGTATCTCCGAAACCATAAGTCATAAACTCGTTTGGTCGTCTTTTTTTCGAAATAACTCATTAAAAATTAAGAGGCCTTGGAAATGCCACCCAATTTATGAAAGAGCGCCAGATGAAGAGATTTTTTTATAGTTCGTATACCTATCTTTTGACGATATATTTAATGCACACGGGTATATTTTTTTTTTTATAGCATTCCTGCCCATTGTGTATATGTGTACGCGCGCGCGTGTGTGTGTACTGTAATAACGTATGTAAATCGTTAAAACACTCGTCTTCAGATCGTTTATACAAGCAGAAACTTTATATAGACGCTGCAGAGTCGTTAAAAAAAAAAAAACACGGCCGTTATACGTGTCGCTAATCGTTTATTGTCCCCGTCAAGTACGTGCCCAGATGAAGAGCACAGGCGCCCGGCGGCCAGAGTGTATTATTATAATATTTACTTTGTCGACCGTGTTTTATTGATATATATATATATTGACCGTTTTTTAATTTAATGGCCAAACACATTTACCGGTAGGCGGCGGCTGCGCGCGTTTAATTCCGACGCGTCAACTCGTCTCCCATTTCTGCTGACGAATTAAATTTAAACAACGTAGGCATATTTTTTACGTGTATTAGGTCGAAATTATAATCGACCTCAACCCCTACGACAAGTGCATCATTTCCATACACGTTCGACGAGTTGTCAGCAACGGCGGCGGTGGAGACGGCAGAAGAGGAGACGGGCATAACGAAACGCTCGTTCAAGATGCTACTCATCGTCAAAAATAATATTATGCCTTGTACAATCCATTTAGTTTCCCACGGACGAGGCGTCGATTACTATTAGTTCTAAACGTCGTTTCTCGCTCGTCATTTGTCTCGACTTCATAACTGATAATTTGATCGGTGTACTTGATAAACGTGTGCGGCTAATAATCCTACGACTCGATATGGTTCACATTTGAATAAATAACGCGTTGGGGGGAGAGGGGACTCGTTGATTTGTTTGTCGTTTATAAAAAAAAAAAAATCTCTTTTCTTTTTAAATTTAATTAGCGCGATAATGTATTCGGCAATACGTCGTTACCCGGCGGTGTGCGGATGCAAATGATGTAACCCCCGCGGTTTTGATTTTTTTTTTTTTTTTTATTGTAAATTATTTGCCTCGTAAAGAGAAACGGGTTGACGCGCTTTTACCGAGCGGCCGGCGAATTCGTTTTGTGAAACTGTTCGAACGGCTTTTCTCATTCAGTCCATGCGAAGTGATCATCGCGTTCAAAGGATACCACGGCAGTATAATCGATTCCAAGGGCACTTGCAGCCGTCAATCTTGCGCTGTGTCATTGATAGTATTCGTCCGAATGGTTTTTACAGATGACACGCACCACACTCTAATGGTTGTTGTCTATAAAAACACACATCTTCCTATTTTTTCTCTTTTCTTTTTGTGTGTTTTGGAAGGAATCCACGGATTTGACACGGGTTGCGTATTAAGAACGGTCCTTTACGCATTCCCACATCACTTACGTCCGCGATTTATGGCCCGGTAGAGTAATACAAGTGAATGTGTGTTCTTTACATTCAACTCCGGGAGTAACCGTGGTGTACACTGACCACCAAAAAAAAGGTCTTGACCTAAAATCGTCTTCAAGGATATTAAAAGACCTTTTTTTTTTTTGCTCCTTTAGTTTAGATCAATAGGTATTGAGTAATTTAGTGGGTCGGGTTTGTTCCGAAAAATTCCAACGACATCCAAAATCAATAAAAATACTTGTCCGGATTTCAGTTGTAAATTACTTTCGAAGGCATTGTCGCGTATGACAATATCCAAATTTTAGATATTTTTCTGTGTGTGTTTTTTTTTGTGTGTTACTTGTGACCGTTGGCCACGTGTTTTGTCGTCGCACTGTAACAACAAGTTTTATTTATATTTGCAGGCGAGAAGCCGTTCAAGTGCGAGTACGAAGGATGCGACAGGAGGTTCGCCAACAGTTCCGACAGGAAGAAGCACTCGCACGTGCATACTTCGGACAAACCTTACAACTGTAGAATATCTGGCTGTGATAAGTCTTACACTCATCCCAGTTCCCTCAGGAAACACATGAAGGTACTAGTCGCCGCTGCTCCTCATACTTCTGCGTGAGCTCATTGAAACCTTTTCAATTAATAATCCGATTGTTTATCAATTAATAGGTACACGGTAATGGGAAACTCGACAGCGACGGCAACTACGATTCGGAAGACTCGAACTGTTCGTCCGGCGCTTCCATCAGAGTGACCGACAGCTGCACCACGACCACGACGCCCAGTATCGTGTCGCCTGGCGATCACCACGGCGGCGGCGCCCAGACGCCGTCCATCCTACACTCGACCGGTACCTCGGCTCTGCCGTTGCCCACACCGCCTACCGCGTCCGACTGGTGAGTACTTTTTGCACTCGCAAAGCTCGTTCGAGCAAATATCGTTGTACGCCTCTGTGCGCGTGGACGAAACATTTGATTTATTTTCCTCGCGCCTTGCAGGTACATGAACACGGGTGCGGGCATACCGTCATCAATACAGCCATCGGCCGTCGACCACGGTCACCATTACTTGACGGACCTCAACCATCATCACCACCATCATCCGCACCACCACGCGTCTCTGATGGCGCATCACCATCACGGCACTGCGGCATATTGAAACAAATCCCCCGCTTCATATCTGAACAACAACAATAATAACAACAGCATCGGAGGCCTAACGACTTCCGCCGAATGGAGATAGCACTACGCTGATTCCGGTCCGGATACGTCGACTGCACGACCTTTGATTATGTGCCGTACAACTGCTGTTAATTACGTCGTCCACCGTAGACGTACCGTAACAACAGTTGCAACACATTCGTGCACTGGACGTATGCGCGCGTTGTTATTAATGTATCCGTTGTATTTTAAACGAAGCACATCATTATGGGACGCCATTTTGCTATGTAGGCTGTCCTAAAATTTTATGGACAAACGTTTAACTACCGTGAAGTGGGGGCAACTTGTGATTTTAATATTAGTTTTTAGTGTGATAACTGACGGCTTTTTCATTCACGGGTCGGTGTATAGTTTTTATTTGCATTACGACGACTAGTTTTCAATCATCTAGTATATTATATAAAATACACATTTCTTTTTTTTTTTTATTCATGTATATTATAAAAATCATAATATTCTGTGCCTTTCGAGTCAACTGTCTATTTTACGTGGCGTTAATTACGTTTAAATCAATATTAAACGCGCATATTAATGTTTATGTTTTTCAACGAATAAATCAGTATAAATACTAAATTATTTCCTTCCGCAATTTTATGTTTTTTAATTTGTATTGTCTTAAATAATTAAATAGTTAATTAATACTCTGAACAAATTTCGCGCTAAATATTTGCAGTTAAATGTATTAAAATAAATTATATGTTATGACGACAATGCTGTACAAAGTTATTTATAAATAAATATTAATGCATATTTATTATATATAAATATATATATATATATATATGAACAAATTATAAGTGATATAAAAAAAAATTAATCATGGTGTATTTTATTTTAATTCCACGTCCTCCAGATACTTTTTGATTGATCATTTTGTTAAGTTTTTAATGACATTTTACATTCTCAGTGTTATCTAAGAATTACATATTGAAACATATTAATAATTATTATTAAATATTAAGAAAAATAATTAAGGAATACATAATATGTACTTATTATAATTATAAATAAGAGAAACTCTTCTAGTTCATTAATATTATTATTGTTTTTTATGGTAAAAACAAAATGAACTTTTTTTCAATAATTTTTCTTCTATAAAACTTTAAATTTAACACGTGATGTTCAATGAATAAATACACTTTTTTTCAACTTGTATACAATATATATATAAAGTAATTTGAATGTTATTAGGTTTAACGAGTGTCAAAATGTACGAGAAAAATATTATAAAACATAAGTATAAACATAAAGAAATATTTCTTCCAATAAATAATTATGAAACAAAACTTCTTTAATATTAAATATAGACGAGTAAGGTAAAGTTGTATGAATTTAATTGTAATATTTGTTTTTATTATGATTGTAACATTCGAAAAAAAATGACATCGTAATAGAGTTATTCAAATAAATGAAATATGATTTTTTAAATAATGATTGCTCTACCAATAAGGGAAGGGTTATACAATAGTCGTCTGTTAATAACGTAATGCATTATGTAAAGATATAACAAATTGAAAAACTCTGAGGTCGTACACTTGCGTAATAATATATGGTAGGTCGTTAAACGGGATCCTCACGATTGGGTTCATAAACATGGCGTTTGTATACAAGACACCCCCCTAAGATAACTAACGATATTATTCTCACTGTTAGAAAGGTTCACCGAGAAAATACTCACATAAAATTATTTTGATACAGTGATTTTATGTGAGTATTTAAATTATTGTACTACGCATACGTATATTTCAATACTGAAATCAATTGACAATTTTCATTATACTCGTTCAATTATTTTAACTGATTTAATAAGATCAAACTTTTTAATATTTTCTTCAAATAAACATGCACCACATAGGTGCAAATATAATAGAAGAGACTTGAAGAGACCCTCAAATTTTAATATTAACATTTCCAAATTTTAAAAAAAAACAGCATCTATATAAAAAGAAATTATAGAGGGGGAAGAAATTGGATTTAATAAATAGGCCCCTAAATATTTTTTGTTAAATTTACGCCTAAGATGTTCAAATCAAATTTTAAAAATTATTTCGTTTTAGATGTAACACTTCCATTGCCAAACAATACAACAAACATGTTATATTTTTAAGATTAAGGTAACGGACTAACATTACAATTGTGTAATAGAAAATATGATCTAAACATTAAAAATTGTTACAACAGTTCTAAAATAATATTATTTTACTCAATGTAATGAAAAAATTCGTGAAAAATGTAATATTTTAAGAATGATAACATTTAATTTAATTTTTTTTTCTCAATTATAATATTTATATGCAAAAGTCGTGAAATGGATTCGTTCAAATCAAAATATGAATTTTTTGCGATTTAAATAAAAACTAAAAGTTATTGGAAATAGCACTTCAATAATAGGAGTTTTATTTATCGCACTTTGGAATATGTTCTTCCATATAAAGTAAAACCTTAGGTTTCGAATATTTCATGAAATTTATTATTATTTATTATTGTATAAAATATTTTAATTGAAAAAAACTAATGATTTTTTTTTTTTGTTAAATTAATAACTGATAGAAATAAAATATGACCTTGTGATATTATACTATTTGTAGGCATAAATTAAACCATATTTATTTCAAAAATAAAAATAATTTATTTTATTTTTAATGTAATATTAATCATAATGTTACGTCTTAATTTAAAAAATAGTTTGGGCGTTGCATTGTTGTATAATTTTGTTATTATCAATTGTGGAATTTCTTTTGAGGCATTGTTGCCCAATTTAAAATTTTGAGAAAGAAAAAGTATAGTTGTATAACTTTTACAGTGATATTTTATATAGGGATATCATTTAACTATATTTTTTATAGTTCAATGTTCTTAATGTACATTTTTATCAGAACTATAACTATTAATAATGTTAATATTAATATATTATAATTTAAGTTTTTAATAAACATTTGTTACTGAGTAAGAACACCCGAGCCAGCAAAGGGTTTAGTTATAATGCTTTAACAAAATGTCAAAACAATTATTTGAATCAAATATTTGACTTTATTTATAAAAGTTGTTTTAAAGTAATAAATTATTATTATTACAATACAGTATGTAAAATTTATAAGTAAATACCTATAATAATGCAAATTGATAAAAAAAATTATAATTATTATGTTATTGTATAAAAAATTTTAAAATAACGTATATTTTGTGTAATTTAAATTATACAAATTATTATTATTATATTATTAATTAATAAATAATGATAATTATTATTATTATTAACATATAAAATGATTTGGGTAAGTCATTAACATCAATTTTTCTTCGTAGTATTAGTATTAGTCTAAACTGAAAAAATTCTTCAGATCAACTACATCCAATAAATTTTTTGTTTAATGAATCTCAGTCTTTTGTTAATTTAACTATTTTTGATAAAGAAAAAATATCAACTTAACAAATATTTTGTTAAATCAACAAAAAAATTGGTAAAACTAATAAAAAATATATTCATTTAACAAAATTGAACTATATGTATTTTAATAACAAATTTGTAGATTTTACATATAAATGTTTTTGATGTATGTACTTAACTCCAAAAAAATTGTATTACTAGTCTAATCTAATTTAAATTAGAAGCATTATTACTATTGTATATAAACGCGTATTTAATCAAAGTATTCGAGGTATTAAAATTATTAAAATTGTCAACTAAAAGGCTGCGGTGGATCTAGAGGATCACAGGAGTCATACGCCATCTGATTGAACTATTATCGCCTAAGACAAATATAAATCGAAAAATATATTTTAAACAATAAAATTGTGCTCCTATTTGAAAATGTCATTTTGAGAATTCATTTTAATATAATGTTTTTTTTTTAATAAACTGAAATTTCTAAAAATTTAAGAGTGCTAAGTATTTTTGTTTTTGCACCTATTCTATGGTTTTTCTGCAATAATATAATTTATTTATTAAAAGTGATAAAAAATTGAATACAATTTTTGAAATACAGTTGATACTTTAAAATTATATTTTCCAAGATAAAATAATTAGTAATAAGTATTTAAACAAACTTCAAAATGAAAATTTAATTATTATGTTGCATTGTAAATATTTTAATTCTGTATGTTATTATTGGGTTTACAAAGACTCCTTAAAAAAATAAAAATGGCAACTAAAAATACAGTTAGTTGTTTTGAATAACAGCTATTAATTTGTTGTATATCGCAACCATTGCACAATAATACAGTGTAATAGTATTTTATAATTACTATTTGTAACTAGAACAAAATGTTTGGTTAATTTCCTTAAAATAATATCAATACCTTCTTTTAGCTTTAATAAAAAACCGAGAAGGTATTTGTTATGTGATTAAATACCTTCCTCATGTCTGTCCATTAAAATTCTCTTCCTATATGACCGATTTTGTTGATTTATGTGTCAAACTAATACAATTGTAATCTAGTTTAACTCATCAATAAGTAATATGAAAAAACCTCAATTTTAGAAAGTTATAAAAATACTCAATCTTAAAAAAGGTTTAAAAAAAAGTTTTTTCTGGCTTTTAAAATAGTTAAAACTATTTTTAAAAAATATTTTATTCAAATAAAATATGTAGGAAACAATAAGTTTGCTTGTGTTATGCTTTTAGTGAAAATTCAATAAAAAATCAAAGTACAGGAAAATTTAAAAAAGACCATTTAACATTTTTTTTTTATCTCAATTTTTAAAAAACTTCTAAAACGACTAAATATTTCAATTTAATATCTTATTTAATCTTTTATAATGTAGTACAATATTATTTTATATAATTTTTTTGAAATCCTGGCTATAACTGCCCACAGGAAGGATTCAAAATTTTGTTTAAAGAAATTAAAGCTTATGTTAATCATAGTACGTACATAAACTTTAATTTAACATATGTTTAAAAGAACGCAGTATTTCCGGAACAATTTCAAAAGTTAAGTTGAAACATTTTTACATTTTATATTTATATTTCAAGTTTTGAACGCCCTCTGTTAAGGGGAAATTGTCCGAAAAAGAAATAAGTCTGATGATATTTATATATATATATATAAAGTATTTAGAAACAATAATCTGTATTGATCCATACATTTTTCAAAAAATTTTAGCAATTTAATGTTGAAAATATAGAATCGAAAATTTCATCACAAAACTGCGGGAGCCATTTTATGTAAAAGATAAGTCATCGGGACAAATTTTCTTTTTTTAACTTATAGTACGTAATATAATCTTTAATTTAGTATATGTTTAAAGGACGCAGTATTTTTCCGGAACATTTTCAAAAGTTAAATTGAAAGAATTGACTTTTATGAAAAATTTGCTATTTTGAAATACCCTCTATGATTAGGTAAATAGTCAGGTTTTTATAAAAATAAAAAAACATTCTTAAGGTATCTATTTGAAAAAAAATTATTTTGATTTATTCATTTTTGAAAAAAGTTATGGCTGTTCTAAAAAAGATAAATAATTAAAATTTACTGATTTTCAAAATTATAACTTTTTTGGAGTTTCCCCCATTTATTTCAACTAGATACGATTTGTGACCTTTTGACGTATCGTAGAAAGAAATCGTCCAGTGAAAGTTGAGGAAAAGTGGTGACAGACAAAAAAAAAAACACACACATTAAACAATTGAGTGAAATTGTAAGATTACAAATTTACAAATCATTGTGAATTTTAACAGATTCGCATCGAAACGTTTTTTATGATTTTATAATCGCTGTCAGATATCATCTATGCTCGAATACGCCATGTCTTTAATATGTTCTGACTCAACTGGGCTGAAATTAAATTTTTTTGAAGAAGGTGATTAATTTTTT